AAAAAAAAAAAAAAAAAAGAATAAGAAAAAAAGAAAAAAATATTGTACAAATTTTACTTAATGTGATTATTTATTTATTCTGCTGATTTGGTGGTCTTTTGTGACACGTGTGCATCCACGTAGATAAAATCGGGGTGAGTCAGCACCTACCGGTGAAATTTGGTAACTGTAGGTAAATTGGGCATGAATTCTGGGTCTTAACAACTTTATGTCTTTCCAAATGGAAAAGAAGTTTTGCTGATTTGGCGGTCTTTTGGGACACACGTGCATCGACGTAGGATAAACCAGGGGTGAGTCAGCACCTACCATTAAAATTCGGTAAAATTGGGCACGAGTTATGGGTTTTAACAAGTTATTGTCGTGTTTTTCCAAACGAAAAAAAAGTTGTCGACATTTACCACACAACACAAATTACAAGTCACAAAATGCAATTTTGCCTTGATACATAAATGTAAAGAGTGTTACTTAAGAGTTAATGTAAGTAACAAGCTAGTGTTACAATGGATAATTTAATGTAACATTTACAATAAGTGTTGCTAATATTATATAAAATAATTGGTAGAAAGGGTAACAATAGCCCTCTTAATGTTACTTATGATCTCAACAACACATTTTTAAGATAAGGTAATACTTTATTGGAGTAACATAACTTGTGTATTTTGTAGTGAACTAAGCCACCTTCATGTTAATCAACTCGAGATTGATTTATATAATCTTTACATAGTTTTTACGCCGTCTTCTTCAGCGACTAACTTGTTGAGGCGACTTAGCAGTAAGTTAAAGTCGTCTTCACTTTTGAGAAGGCTAAGGCGAACATAACGATTTTCTACGTTGAACAAGCTTCCTTCACGACCTATGATGTTCGCTGCCCGGAGAACTGATTTGCAGTTTGTGTCTCCTTCTCTTTCGCATTTTAACCATGCATAAGCTGCATGGCATGAGCAATTATCATACATATACAGAGGATGAGTTTAAGCGCAAGCTCTTTCTTCACATTCATTAATTATCCACATTTTTTTTTTAATCACAACATAATATTTGGGTATTAATAATATGGAGAAAGTAATGAGATATGATCATCACCTGGAGATGGTCCCCGGACTTTCCGAAAAAAGTTGCAGAAGCGTGGTGGGATCTCTTGGAGGGAAAAGCGTTTTGAAAACGAGAAAATCCGGCTAAGTTTTCCCCATCGATCACTCATTTTGTGGTACGCGTAATTGAAAATCTCAGTCCCGTTCCCTTGTAGAATTGTTTTCATACGCTTTAGAGCCCTCAGTTGAGCCTTCCTTGAGATTCCCAGTTCAGCTGCTCTTATGTATGCTTGCATGTTTTGGTACACGTTTTCATCTTTTATAAAAGCCCATCTACTCCCATACAATAAAATTAAATTATTTTCACGTACGCACATAAATTTATTTATTTTGTTTGATGAATGGAAAAATGAGTTTAATATATACCCGAATCTGGTTCCAGCATGTCCAGTGAGTTTAGAAATAGTGAAGATCATAATATCTTCATCTGCAGGGGCTGGAACTGCCGTAAAATGTGGCCAGTAATAAGCATGGTCGTAAACAGCTCTAACTGATGCTCCTTGCAACACAGCCACCCTCAAATTCCCGTCCGGATTATTAGGTGACGTTACAAACTCTATTATACTATTATTTGCCTTTGCATTACGATCCAGCTTCTTCAACAAATTCGCGTCTCCTTTGTACTCGAACTCTGCATTTCGGAAGAAATCTGTCTGCGTCTTGTAAAGCTGCACATCACAATCCAATATGAATAAAGCCATATGGTTAGGCACGTATGTTTCGATAATATTTGTTTCTATTTCACAAGGATTAATGCTAAAAATTGAGTTACATACGGATATTCCAAAAAAAAAAAAAAAAAAAACTAATTTCAACAATTTGCATAGTACGTACCACTATAAAATTTGCTATATTAGAGAAATCTCACCTAGTTGTATAAAAATCTAAATTTTGGTCTAATTTCACCATGATCTATGCTAAGTGAAACTCTAGTGAAAACTAGGAGGACCATAATATGATTATAACTCAGCCGTTCCAGTTTAGATCTATATATAATAATAGGATCGTTATTTGGGTTAAATAAATTCGATTTTAACAATTAAAAATCGAATAAATTCTCTGTGACTTAGACTTAATAACAATTACTTGATTTAATGTAAATAATCGTGATTAATACATCAAATTAGGAAATATTAATGTATATGGAAATAACGTCGAGCTCCATAAATAGTAAATAATATTTTGGGCGTTACAATATATCCTACTTTAATTATTTCCGTCATCGGAAACGCCAAAACTAAACATAAATCCGACTCGACTATAAACTAGGAATACAAAGTACTAATCAGAACTGAAACTCTGGGTAACGAACTCAGATCTCATCCTCTCGCTCCCAAGTGAGTAGACCTCGCCGTGGCGGCTCCAACGAACTCGAACTACTGATACATCTCTGTTTCTCAGCTGTTGGACGTTTCGGTCCAAAATCGCTATCGACTGCTCCTCGTAAGTTAGGTTCTGCCCAACCTCGAGCTCGCTGTAATCCAGCACGTGCACTGGACCATGCACGTAACTCCTCAATATCCACACGTGAAAGACGTTGTGCATACTCAAAAGATTGGGAAGCAACGCCAAACGGTATGCTACTGATGTAGGGAAAGCGTGAACGAATGGGAAAATACAAGATACTCTCTCGTAAAACACGCAAAACTTTCAATATCTTATTTCATATTCAAAATCAACTGAATAAAACAATAGATGAGGAGTCCTTTAAATAAGGCTCATAACCCTATTCCTAACTTGTCCAACAAGACAAGATCTCTTATAATAATATTAGATTTCTAACTTATTCTCTAGGATACCTATAATAATAATAATAATAATAATAATAATAATAATAATAATAATAATTATAATTATAATAATAATAATAATAATAATCTACACCATTCTCCTCCGGTTCGGAAGGCTTCGCCCTCGAAGCTGATGCGCATCCGTGGCCGGTGTATGGTGTCGAACCCATGATAGTAAACCCCTGCCGTTTCCCCCGATCGAACACGAAGGTCGAATACCTCACCTCCATAGTATTGCCCCCTTGAAATTCATATAAAGGCATATATGCTGCAGTCACACACAAAATACTGAAGTCACCTTGGGGACCAAAAAACAACATCTGTTTGTCAGGTCGCAACAAATTCTCATGGGAGAAAAGCTCGGGCCTGCGCAATAGAAGAACTATTTCTTCCAACAGCTGAATTTTGAAACTCGAAACATGATGGTAATCCTCTAGCCCTGGAGGCTCCTCAACGAAAATCGGCGGATCGTCGTAGAGATCGTCCACTTTGTCGGGAAGACGATCCTCCACCTCTTCGGGTCCTTCATCAAATACAGGCGGATCATCGTACAATGACCCGTCAACTTGCTCTTCATCGAATTCGGAGATGTCAACGCGAAACAGGCCCTCCCACGGACCAAATTCACGATCAAGTCCCCAATCGTGTCGGGCACGATATCCGCCAGCGAAGGCTGCCTCCTTGCGCCAACCCCTATCGCCGCCATGATCGTTGCCGTCCACGAAGCCGTTCAGAGGTGGCGGGAACCACTGTCGGGGCGCCCCGACATGGCTGCGTCCCCCACAACCGCCTCTGTCTCCCCCGCGAAAGCCACGGCCCATAGCCCCATCGCGGTTCGTTTGCAATTCCGAAACAACCACGTTGTTAAGCGTCAAATG